ATTTTGTAGTCATCATGTCTCCAACAGCAGGAGCAACATGTCCAAATGAAATAAGAGCCAGAACATGCAATAGCTTCTTAAATGCACAAATGAAAAAATATCTCCATGCGTATTCAGGGAGATTTTGAGGCACTGCAGAGGAGCAGCAAGGAACCCCTATGCTGCCTAAATCATCCTGCAACGCTCCTGTGAAGATGTACGTGTTTGGTGACCTGTGCTACAGGTGTCCATTCCCCTTGGTGCAAAAGAAGGGCCATGAACAGTCAGAATAATTTAAAAATTCTAGTCAGAATAACTTAAAAATTATCTTCCCATGCAGACAAAACACGAAACGAGGTCATAAAGCGGCTCAGACTTGCCCCAGTTATAACAATCTTCCCTTTCCTGAGCTGATAATCACCTGTGCTCAAGAGGCTGGGCGGGCTGCGGGTGGTTACCTGTTGCCTGCCTATTACTGCTAAGAACAAGGAACACCGTTCCCAGGCAGCATGCACAAGAAAACAAAAAGGAAAAAAATAAAAATGTACCTCGTAATGATAAACTTCCATTTCTTTTTAATTTGCAAGAACTCACATTTAGAAGAAAGAAGAAATGAGTATCAAGAGATAAGGAATGATTAATGAGCCCTTTGCCTGGGTTTCAATTGCACTGTGAAATTAATTTAATGCACTCTAAGGATACAAGAGGTAATCGCTCTCTTTTGGTAAAAGGTTTCAACTTCTCTAATAAAGTATCGATATAAATATGTTGCTTTAAGACAGGGACAACAAGTCAGTTAAATCAGAAAGAATTGGACATACTAAAATAAATGCCATTAAGGAAGCCAAATGGTAAAACTAATTAATTAATTAATTAATTGAATGGAAATTGTATGGCAGAGAGCTGGTAAACTGGGATTTCATTATAAACTTATTTTAGAGTGCATTTTATGATGATGATAGGCATCCAAGTGACTGATACCATGAAAAAACATGAGTAATTTAAAAAGAGTAGCTGTCCATCTGAGGAGACGTGTTTAAGGCTGGAAACAGTGGCAAACCTGAGACCAGCAACTCGGAAAATAAATACATACACAGATACAAGAGGTTAATAATGCTTGTGGACTTACGACATGCTGACAAGATGTGAAATGGCTACACAGAGTGGACAAATGAAGAGAGCTTTCTGATGGGTTGTCAAATGTCACCACAGCAAAAGCTGACAAGTCTCTGCCCCTGGACCTCGTTGCTGGCATCAGCCAACTCTTGCAGTGAGATGCTGGCGGGTCCGAAACGGGCTGCACAGGCGCGCTCGCCCCGCTGGGTACCCACCAGCTGCACTGCGGGTGGGATTTGCCACTGCTGTCACGAGCTGAAACGCTGGAGCCACCCTGGCATCAAGACTTGTGAGACCCTTCTGGGGACCACAGGATCAAGTCCCTTCAAAGAGGCGCAGCAGGCAGCAGAGGCACCTTGCAGAGAGCACCCCGGGAAGGGGCTCAACCTGACCCGTCTAGTCCTGCAAAAATTGAGATCTCAGTGACACAAAGCGGGAGAAGGGAAAACTGGGAGGTAGCCAACATTCCTTATAATGGTCTAAAATATTTTTGAAGAGTTGTCTACTCCAATTTTTTTTGAGGCAAAAAGCTCACTGCCTTGCAGACTGCCGAAGTAGTGACGATGGAAGAGCCTCAACCTTGCAAATCATTAAAGCCACTCTGGACTGGTACCTTGCAGCAACACCCAAGATGTGCTATAATCCCTAGCAACACATTGCCTGACATATTTTATCACTTAATTACTCCCACATTCATGTTTACTGCCCTTGTTAATCGAGCGCTTCAGGAGAATACTTGCCTTGCTTACACATAACTTGATTGTAATCTCTGTTTTACTGGTGTAAATCAGAACTCAGAGTTATGGGAGTGTCAAATATCTAATGTAAAAATCAGGCCAATAGCCAGAAATGAACATTTAACCTGGCACCAGGAGCATACACTTATTCTCTCGTGTCAATTTGCAAACCAAAATATACTCACTCCATGGCATAGACTCCAAAGGGAGTTTTAGGACTGTCAATGCTGAGACTAGTCCAGACTCCCAAGAAGTTTATTCTTCGCCTCTTGCCCCTACTACAAGCAAAGCCTTATCTTTGCCAGCAGCCCTAATAATTTTTGTTCAAGGCAGATTACAGATTACACTCATTCTAGCCTCAGATGGACAATGTTGCAAAAAGAGAAACTGCAGGGCAATGCCATTAAATGTGATCAATATAATGAGTTGGACAGAAGAGGATACAGACACAGCCAGCTAGGACATCCCAACCATTGTTCTTTGATCAGACACATGGTAGTTAACGGCTTCTGAAATGCCTCTGCCTCTTGCTACCCAGCAGAGATGGGGCAGATATGAGGCCCCGCTCCAGGAGCTCGGATGTAGCGTGGCTGCATCCTCCTACTCACAAGCAGTTAATGCAAGGAGAGCGTTCAGCCTTGTGACGTGCAGGAATCCTAAACTAAAAAAGCTCCAAACACAGAACCACCCTATTTAGCTATTGCTCAGCTGCTCGTACTTCAAAAGACTCTTTAGAAGTGCCAGAAATTCAAGATAATGGTATATTATCAAGACTATAGATTCGCATGTGGTGCTACCTTCCTTGCGAGCTGCAGCTGATATGGTACCTTCGAAGAGCAAAAACTTGCTTAAAATTAGCCACATCTGTGCATATTTCCAGTGCCTCAGTTAATTGTCAGGCATTGAAAAATGCAAAACTGCCAATCACAGAGCAAGGAAAAGAAAAAAAAAAAGCACCTACAGAAAAAGAAAGTTTTCAAAAAAAATTTCCACACTCCATGTGGCCGTACTCCATTATATCACTTGCGACAGTGAGAATAAATGCTGTATCTACCATAATTTCTTGCCCTTTTCCATTTATGTGAAGCAATAAAAATGCTAGAATAAGATTATCCAAAAGCTCTAGGCATCTTCACATTCTACTCATGTCTTTTGTTCCTCTTTTTAGATTATTATTACTAAGAGAGCACTTTTTTTAGAAGAACTCATTCAGAAATGATGGAATGAGGGTAGTTTGTTGACTCTTCTTTGTGACCTAGCAGGTCAATGATAATTAAATCAGTTTGCAGAAGCCACCTAAGGTTTAAATACTTGTGTGAATCTTTTATGAATTACCCAAATCAGACTGTGCAAATTGGAAGATCATGTAAGAACAGGATTTTTCAAGCTATTTTTTTTATCTGACCAGCCTGAACAATTATCTTTTCTGTTAGCATAACAGCATTCTTCTACCAGCTCCAAAAATAGGAACCACTGAAATGGAAAAAAAATCCTATAGATTTTAAAAAATGCATGAATTCACTTTCTTTGATCTCCTGAAGAGACCTCCAGCCACATTCTGGGAACCCTTGGGAGGTTCATTTCACCTGGCCTTGTTCTATCCCAGCCTGCTTTTCTACCACCAGAAAGCCAAAATAAGGTATCTGCAATGGTCATATCACTCATAGGTTGGAAAACTGAGGGAGAAAGGAGAGGGGACTGAGACAAACAGACTAACCTTAAGATATGAACCAAATGACGATTTTATGAGGATTTTTTTTAAAAGGGGAAAGCAACAAGAGGTTATGAGGACTACCATAGCTACAGACAGAAAGGAAAGAGGGCGGAAATCCTCCTCCTTGGCTTTCAGTGGTGACACAACTGCTTACAGCACCAGCAGCTCCCACTATCAGGTCTGAGCAGTGATCAGAGCCACACAGGGGGTGGGTGACCCAAGGCAGTGCCCTCCCCACGTGTGGCACTGTGCCTAACACGGCAGGCATGTCTCATAGCAGGGACATGGGACAACAGCTACCTGGGGCCTCTCTGATGCCTCCCAACTGCCCGCTAAGCGCAGAAGCAACCAGGAGAAAATACCCAGAAGTAATTAGCATCTCTTGTTGCTAAAAGAGAGAAAGGAATGAAAGAAGAGAAAAGAACAGGGTGGGACCTCTTAAAGAGAGAGGGTTATGGGCTCCTGCCAATTTTAGTCAGCTCTGGAAAGACTCCATAGGCAGTAATGGAGATGTTCCGCATTACAATACAGCTGTCAGGAAAACACAAGACGCAGCCATGAGTCTTGAAAATGGACAGCTACCTGTAACATGGCCCACAGCAATTTCCTTACAGCTCATTTTGAGACCAGGTAAGTGTTGAGCAAGTCTTTTTGCAGGTAAACCTCTGTTGGTGACACAAGTAAATTGCTTCACTGACACCTTTGCTGGCAAAGTAGCCCCTGGGGCGATGCTGAAGTCCTTGGGAGAGCTGTTAAAAACAACTCTGAAATTCAGAAAATAACCAAGATATTGTTATCACTGGTCCCCTAAGAGCTACACTTTGTGAAGCAGAGCCTGGGATCAGAGCACTGCATTTCAACACAGCGTCAAATCGTCTGTATTGGCCATCGTGCTTGCTCTACCCTGAACTCCCTCCACTGAAAATGAGAAATTTTGTTTTTCTTATTTATCTTATAATTCAACTAGTTTGTCGAATTATACCATGAAAACAGTGTGATAGGAGACCTGTGCCCTGCTGCATTCAAGGTCAGGGTTTTCAAAATCCGTTGAAAGTCAGGCTTACAGGAGGTCTCTTACTTATCTCCTTCCTGCAGCGGCAGAGAGAATGAAGTTATTGGGAAGCATTTTCCAACACCTTCTGCCAATAGGAAGGACAGGCATTGGCACAGGACAGCTGAGGACAGACTAAGGGAAAAGATGAACCACAGAGAGAGAGAAGGAGACTCTGTCTCAAGAAATAGCAGAGTCCACATATATAGTAAAGGGGTTCCTGAAATTGCTCTTCTGCCTTGATAATCTTAAAAAAAACCTTTTTTTTTTTTTTTTTTTTAAGGAGACCTGTCCCTTGAAAACGAGGCTGGTCCTTTGCATGGTAACTGTAATCAAGTTGTGTCACCACTGCAGCTTTTATATTACTGGCCTTGAGCTTTACAGGAAAAGGAGACCCACATACCTTTGGTTGCCAGCCGGACACAGTTGATTTTTGTTTCCTGAAAAATATAAAAGTAGAGCAAAACATCAAGGTGTGTAATTTGCCCATCTGCAATAAACATACAGTCCTTAAAAGCAAGCACTAAAACAAATTAGCATTTTTCTTGCACTTCATTTCTAAAAATACCGTCAACACTTCCATAAAACACTCCATACTAATGGACCTGCAGCCTGCTAACTGCTGCAAAGTTACAGTGACAATATATTTTTCCACACTAGATGTGTGAGTGATGGGTCCCAGACAACGGGCTGATTAACTAATAGAAATTACCGGTTAAATGATCTGATCTGTAATAAGCAGAGAAGCTTTGGGTCAAAAGTACATGCAAATATACATCTAATTTTCATGCACCATTACTACAAATTTTGCAAATTGGGTATTTATTTAAACACACAGCACAGAGACACCTAAGCAGTCATTTGAGTACTTGAGCTATCTCAAATGCGTGGGAAGCAGAGCAGCCTGTCGCGTGGCCAGCCCTGCCAAGCACGCGGCTCGGACATGACCCAAACCACTGCAGGGTTTCACCATGGAGCTTGGAAAAAACCCAACGCCTTTGTTCCATCCACCTCAAGGTCCACAGATCTGCATAAACAGCAATTTGGATGTGAGCAACAATGTTGTATTTGGCTTAACTAACAACCCTCAAATTCGGCAGACTTCTCAGGCCACCTCCATTGAAAACCCATCCTTTCTGCTATCCCAAAGTCCTCATTTCGCAGCCGTTACTGGCATGGATTGCTTCTGCTTGATACACCATCACCAGCCAAATCCTAATGTGTTGCTTCAGTTAGAAAAGTGACTTTGTCAGTCAGTAATCTGCTGCAGGGGTTTCTTAGCACTTTATGTCTTTACATGCTCTTGCACATGTCTCAGGTGTAATGAATACTGCATAAATTACTGCATGCAACAATGCGACATTAATATGGATGTGGCTCGTGCGTTGGAAACAACAACCCGGCAGATGCACCGCTGAGCGGCTCCCACCCCCTCCAGCAACAGCAGGAACAGTCAGTAATCTGCTGCAGGGGTTTCTTAGCACTTTATGTCTTTACATGCTCTTGCACATGTCTCAGGTGTAATGAATACTGCATAAATTACTGCATGCAACAATGCGACATTAATATGGATGTGGCTCGTGCGTTGGAAACAACAACCCGGCAGATGCACCGCTGAGCGGCTCCCACCCCCTCCAGCAACAGCAGGAACAGGCTGGATTTGCTCCTGGAAAAAGCCTGTCGCACCTTGGGCCGCCCCTCCTTCGCTCCCA